CCAATTTGCCTCTCAAAGAAAATCAAAATATTGGTAATTTATCACCTTATATGTCATCAGTTTTGAGCTAGCATTGAATTGTTGCCATGACTTACCTGAGGCACGACTTTCAATGGCTGATGTTGTGGTGTCATAAAAAAAATCAAGGTTATATTTATGGAAAATGTTAGAGGCACTTCAAGTTGAATAATTGTTAAAACAAATTTTAGCTACTATTCCTTTAACATTTTTTTTAATTTCTTGGGAATATGTACTCTATAAAATGGAGTGATGTGTGTTGTAATAATATATGATGTGAATTTGAAATTTTCTTACTTGATTATATGGGTTTTGGATTTCTTCATGTTTTTTTTTTTTTTTACTTTTTAGCATTTTGTTTTCCAATAATAAGAACCAAAATTCCACTCTTATTTTTCATTAGTTATTTGATTTGGGAAGAAAACGGTTTTCTAAAAATCGAAATGAGCACTGCAATTTTCTTTTTCTCCTCTATTATTCTCTAAATAATTATGTATTAGAAATATCTTGTGAGAAGAACTTGAATAACTAAAGTTGCTATCATTAGCTCAATAGAAGATGCTTAAAGAAGAACATATTAACAATTTATTTTGTTTATATATCTGCTTGATTTTCTCAATTATGAATCGAGTGATCCATTAGATACTATCATTTAAACTTTCACTTTGGTTTTCCAATTTTTTTATTTTTAATAAAAAAGAATCAGTACTTTATCATTCAATCAAACTGTTGAGAAGTTTTTTTGAAAAAAAAATCAATATCTTTTGTATGTCTTTAAAATAAATTGCACATTAATTCAAATATTCCAATATGGAAGAGTATTTACACAGGATATGTATGTAATTAAAAAAAAATCTGTACGATAATTAAAATATATACAATGGAAGAATAATATCAAATAATATCAGCTTATAAAGAATAATGTCATATAATTTCAGTCTATGCTACTCTCTGCAAGCTGGAGAATGTATGTCATGCATACCCAACTTGGACAAATAAAATAAATCAGTAAAAAGAACAAAAAAAAGTATGAAAATCAAATATATTTTTCTTATCTTAAAATAATGGTAAAGAATGTTGAAATAACTACAAATTTGATGTATGAAAAAAAAAAGTACTAATAAGTAAAGGAGCAATATCAAACCTCTCGATATAATAAGAAATTAATTATTGCTCCTTTATGTTCAAAAACTCATATACATTATATAAAACATTGAAAGGTGCAACACCAAGAGGCTTAGTATAGATGCCAACCTACGTGCATTCTTTGACATTCCATAACACACTGAAGTTGATAGGAGAAACTTTTCCAAAAAAGGAGGTCATACCAATAGGCTTGGGTCTAACAAAAGGATCGAGCTAGTTTTTCATAGCATGACAAACTAAGATTTAAATCTTCACTGGCAGAAATGCTTGTATTTAGTGTCTTATTGGCGACCATACCCCAAACAAATTACGTCCAATAAAGAGATATTTGTGAGTAATAAGAAAAGGATGTCATCCTGAAATAGAAGATGGGAAATATTACTCCCTTTTCAACCTATCCGCAAATATGCAAGTGACATTAATGCCTAATTGCCTATGGTCACTCAGTATTACTCATGGCAAAATGCAAAGTAAAGAAAATGATAAATAAAAAATTTATTGTGATAACCCAACTTAAAAAAGATTTAAATTAAATTATAGTAAAATATAATAAAATTAATAGGAGTAAAGTTAAATATAATTATAATAAAGTAGAATTAAAAAGATTCAAATTTGAAATGCTATAAAATCATCTTATCAAATCTTTTAGATATTCATCCCGCAACTGATAGGATTTCATATATGTCAATGTAATAATCTTGAAATAGGTTAAAAATTAAAAAAGAATCAACAATAAAATAGATTTTATCAATATTTATGTATATATTAAAAATAATTAATAGAAAACCCTAACCTTATAACTTTCCGCTCCTATAGTTTCGATTGCCGCCACACCATTCATGAGCTCAATCACATTAGAAAGTCTTCATTTAACTCCTTTTGTAGTTCGGGCCACACCATTGTCGTAGCATTGTTCTTTATGATTTGGCGGTTTTTTGGTTGAAGCCTTCAACAAAAAAATTGACTCCTCTATCTTTTAATTTACTACTATATAAGGTAACTCTCAAACTCAACTTTAGAATTACATTTGGAAAGATCTAGGTTTAGGTTAACGACCATATTAGGAAAATTATATTTAGGGTTATTTTTTGTAATTACACTTAAAGACCCAAAACTCTTAAAAATTACACTTTAACCTCAATTGAGCGTGATATTACAAGGTTAACCTTCACTCTTGTTTATTTTTAAATCAAGGTACTTATTTATTCTCTCATTATATTTAATTACATATAATTAACTTTGAACATTAATAGTTACTATTTGGCTTTGGATAAGCTATTACTCTTGCTTGTTTTTCTTCTCTTTCCTTTCTTAGCCTAGTTAGCAGTTGAGCTATCTAAGAAAAAAAAAATCAAAGATACTCTCTTTGTAATAGTTAGCCAAATTTAAGAGGTCTTGGTATTTTAAACTCATCCTAGACCATCGTCTTCCTAGAGAACTGTCGCATATGATGTGGCTCAGTAACTTTTTGCCAAGTCTATTATGACCATGAGATCTACTCGCGAACTTGAGATCTAACTGCGATCTCATTGAGCCCTTTTTGGATCTACTATGATCCGTAGAATCTAACTGTAATTCTTCTCTAGAAGACTTAGGACATAAGGATAAAGTTGTCAAATAACACCACTTCTATTTAATCCAGCAACTTTATTGATTATTTTTCAAGACTAATCTTAGATATCTTTATTGCCCTCTTGGACCTTATTTATTTCTTTTTAGCCTATCCTAGATATTTTTGGACTTCAACTTGCTAATTTTTTAGTTCCGAACACTTCCTTGAAGTCTGTAAAAATATTACGCTTTTGCCCAAGAAAGACTTTAAATTTATCATGTGGTCCTTAAGAATCATTCTTTTTTTCAAGTCACTTTAAGGACTTTTGATTACTTGGGCTTAGTAGCTTACTGAATCTTGGCATATTCTTGAGCTTCTAAGTCTAAAATTCAGAATGTTACAGTCACCCATAACAGATTTGTACCCAAAAGAAGCATATTGATTGCCATTTGTTGGTGGTTTCATTGAATCTTTTAACGCTTGAGATTAGAAATCAGAAAATAGTATAGAAACAAACTTATAAATCAGAAAGTGGGGCTCATATTTATGAAAATGGGCACTGCACGCTGAAGAATGGCAGTCACAGTTGCTTTGATTGTTCTTAACTTTTTCCCCAAAACAATGAATAAATGGACCCATTACGTTTCAAAGATGCAAAGTAATATGGCTTAATTGTTTTACGTAAACTATAAAACATATAAAAATACAATTAAAATGAGATAGAAATAATAATAAAAATATGTGTTCTCATTCGGTGCTCATCAGCTCATCAGAGTGATGAGCACCGAGAGCTCAGCGGACAAAATGGTGAGTTTCAATAAGTGGAAAGATCCTAACTGTTGGTATAGATTAATGATTACCGTTCGATCATCCAGAATTCTTTCTTCCATCGGTTGGGTGGGATTTTGTTTCCTTTCTCCAAATTTTCCCGTGAAACTTCAGAGACGAACAGAGATGGACAACACAATCCAAAACACAAAAACAGAGCAAGAAAATGGAAGAAACTGCATTGAAACAGGGCAAGATGATGAAAGAAATTGCATCGAAATAGAGGAGGAAGAAGGAATAGAAGGATTGATGCAAGCTAGAGAAGAGGAGGAAGGAAGAAATGGATCGCTGCAACCTCAACAAGAGAAGGAAGGACAAAGACGGTGGGTACAATAAAACTAATACACTAGCTATATGATACACACACAAACACCCATTGAAAAGCTGAAACTTTATCAAAAAAACACAGTTAAAACCTGCAGTGAATGTGTATATATACACGCTAGCAATATGCATGTATGTATATAAATATACACGTTGACATTGCTATATATATGGACACACGCATGTATAAAACTTGATATTTCACACACATGTATATATAAGATGAACGGAGTTAATTAAAAAAGTTGAGATTATAATTTTATGTTTTATGAATTTTTCTTAAAAAATTGAATATTTGATATAATTTAAATAGAGTTGATTTTATTTTGTATAGGGACTTTATGATGGAGGATGAATTGAAACCCAAAATAGGAAGGGAGTTTGGAAGTTGGGAAGAGGCATGGGAATTTTGGCAAGAATATGCTAAAAACACTGGGTTTGAACCTAGAAAGTATAATGGTACAAATAGCAGAAAAGATGGTTCACTTATTACATATCGATATGTATGTTGTAAGGAAGGTTGTCGGAAAGAAGGTAAAAAGGAGACATATTCTTCCAAGTATCGGGCAGAGACAAGGACTAACTGTAAGGCAAGAATGATAGTGTCTTTTATTGATCAAAAGTATAAAATCACTAAATTTGATGAAGAGCATAATCATCCCTTGCACACACCAGCAACAAGGCACTTCTTAGCCTCTCAAAGAAATTTATCAGAAGTTGATGCTTATGGGATTGATTTGGCAAGAAAGTCTGGGCTCCAACAAAAAGCTACGTTTGACTTAATGAGTACATATGCTAGAGGTAAATCAAGTCTTGGATATACTCGAGTAGATATGCAAAACTATTTGCAAAAAGAAAAGCAAAGAAGTATGAAGTATGGAGAGGTAAGGTGTCTATTTGAATATTTTCAAAAACAACTTGCAGCAAATCCTGCATTCTACCATAAATATCAGGTGGACACAGAAGAACAAATCACCAATGTGTTTTGGGCAGATGCTGGAATGCTAATAGACTATGCACTTTTTGGTGAGGTCGTATCTCTAGACACAACATATTGCACAAATTGTGATCATCGACCTCTTGCAATCTTTTCTGGCTTTAATCATTATAGAAGTGCAGTCATTTTTGGAGTAGCATTATTGTATGATGAGACCACTATGTCTTTCAAGTGGCTATTAGAAACTTTCTTAGATGCTCATATGCAAAAGAAGCCTGAAACTGTGTTTACAGATCAAGATCAAGCTATGGCAAGAGCTTTAAGTGAAATTCTTCCTGACACAAAGCATTGTCTGTGTACTTGGCATTTAAAGCAAAATGGCATCAAATACTTGGGAAATTTAATGAAAGATGGATCACATTTTTTAACTGATTTCTGTAAATGCATGTCTAAAATTTCAGAAGAAGACAAGTTTGAAGACGCATGGAGCCAATTAATCTCTTCTTATGATGTCCATGAGAATACATGGTTGATATCCATGTATAAGATTAAAGAGAAATGGGCTTGGTGCTCTGTAAAAAATCATCGTACTCTAGGTATGAGAAGTACACAGCTTAGTGAAAGTGTGAATGCTGATGTAAAGAGATGCACAACACCGGGCTTAGCTATAAATGAATTCTTTACCACTTTTGACAAAGTTGTTGCAGAGAAGCGAGACAAGGAATTGAAGCTTGAGTTTGATTCTCGACAACAAATACTGAGGATGGTTAATCAAAGTGCACCTATATTGTGCCAACTTGTGCTAACTTATACCCCCGATGCCTTTGACATGTTCCAAGCACAATGGGATCTCCAATTCTCTGTGATGTTGTCTAATCGTGATGAGGAAGGACCATCGTATGTATACACTGCTCATATGATTGATGAAGAAGGAGAATGGAGAGTTGAGTTTAAACCTGAGACATATGAAATTTGTTGCACTTGTCGGATGTTTGAGACTACTGGGATATTATGTTGTCATGCATTGAAAGTATACGAGTCGAAGGATGTGAGAATTATGCCCAAGCAATACATTATCAAGAGATGGACTAGAGAAGCAAGGAGTGATGTTGTATATGATATTGGAGGGAGTGAGATACAAGTAGACCCAAGGCTTGAAATCACATAAAGGTATAGACAATTAATGCATAAAATGGGAAGATTGGCAAAAAAGGCAGCCAAGAATGTTGAAAGTTTTGAGCATGTTTAGAGATGCATCATTGAATTGGAAAAAGAAATTTCAGATAGTAATGAAGATGCTACTCATGAGCCAAGTAGATCACCAGTCATAGACTTTGAAAATATGCCTAAAGGGTTCAAAAAGAGAGAAGGAAGAAAAAGAAAGCGACGTTATAAACCTTAGGAGGAAAAAAATTTAATGATCAGAAGACGACTTATAAAAGACCAAGAGGTATTGAGTTTTTTATTTAAATTGCATTTAATACAAAAATTTGTTACTAATTTTATATTTTTCTTGCGTAGGGAATCAAGAGGCTCCATTCTATAAGAAAAGAAGAAAAGATTCAAAAAACAAATTTACAAAGACACAAGCTGTAACCATTCCAGCAGAACTTATACAGACTCAAGAATCAACATTTCCATACTTAGCACCTTCAACTCAATATGTTTTTGCACCATCTACATCCGAACTATTGTCATTTACAAGCTTGTTGACAGTAAATAAGTTAATACTAATAATTATGTACAGTTATCATATCATCAACTCACAACCATTATCATTTGGAATTTAGGAGCCTGAAGAAAATGCAATCCCATCTCTTGAAGCCATAGAGATTATAGCAGCAAATTATTCACAAGGTATACACTAGAAGAGTAGATGGAATAATCTTTCATTCATTTCAAAGTTTTTGTACATTTGCTACTTGTATACATAGATTGTCTTATCACATATGGACATCACATTACATAAACCTAACTAGCTACAATTTCTTCTTCATACAGGACATTAAAATAGATGCAAGATAGGTTGCTGGCCATTTTTTTGGATTCACAAGCATTACACAATTTTCTTGGACATTATGGTATATCCCCATCTCCTCTTTTGGAGCACATGACTTCATAGTATGATTCTTTTTGTTGGATGGCACTTGCTTTGCTTTATTGGACAACAATCATCTGCCCCTACCAGCATTTAGTAGCAAATTAATCTCCATCCATCATTAGACAGCTTTCAGCCTTCCTCTTGTTTTTTGTCAATCTATGTTTGTAAATGTCCATTCAGCCTTCCTTTTGTTTTTGTCAGTCTATTGTTCCTGTAAATGAAATATTTACTAAGGGTAAGAACTATATTCAGTCGACATATCTACAAATGCTAAGAGTTTTAATTGATTACATGGATAGATGCCTTATTAAGGTTCTAAAGACCAAACTCTTTAATCTTTATTTTTTTTTTTGGAGCAAAAATAGCAAGCCAAAGGCTTAAAAGCTTACAAAAGGTAAAGCCTAATTAACTATAGATCTGTTGTCTTGTAATGCCGCACAACAACCAATAGGTACATCATTGATAAAAGTTACCAAACTCCTTCATTTAACATGAGTTGGGAAGAGCAAAATCAAGGAGGATTGGAACAGATTTTTGTGCATCCATGTCAACATGTTATATTATTATACTTGCAATGAGTCCAGTTTGTGGGAAGAGCATGGAGAGCTAGCTGGACGTCTGGGTTATTCATATAGGCTTCCATGTAGTAATTAGAGCATGGATCATAATTGTACAGCCGAAATTATCAATACATTAATTGAAAAGACAGTCTCATCAGATTGAGAAGATATTGCTAACAAAATGACTACAGGAAGACTTACAAAACCAGGTGGACCATTTATGAGTGAGGTGTCAGGTGAACCAGGAAAACTTATATTATCAATAATTGAATGGGTTTCATATGAGCTTAGAGCATAAGTCCATAAGTAATTGAATATTCCCTCTGAACTTGTTTCATCATCAATCCAAGCATTCCCTATTTGAGATTTCATCAAAAATATGTCAAATTATATAAAATTTCATAGTAATTAAGTGTGTTGCAGCAAGCAAATTAAAGGGCATTGTTGTTAAAGGATGGACGTACAGCAATGCCTTTAAGGTTGATAATGGTTTGTCCAGAGAAAATATTTTGGACCAAAATGGTGTAAGCAAGTTGAGGCAGATAATGACCAGCGTAGCTCTCTCCAATGATCAAGAAATCTCTGAATTTGTATTGTGGAAATCTCTCAAGCCAATTGATGAGGAACACATAGGCATCTTTTGCTGTAAACTTATCTCCTGCTTGATCATAATCAGACGAAGTGTTTAAGTAGGAAAAGCCCACTCCAACTAGTGATTCCAAGAACAACACATTAGCCACTGCATGTATTCATCAACACCAGAATTGCAACCATCCAATGAGCACAAAGGCAAGTAAGACTGTATTAAGATCACACAAAGTATGCTACATGTTATAGAATTAACATGTTATAAATTGAAAATCAACATGTTCATTATATTCTTACAATCACAGAATTTTGTAGAATTAACAAAAATCACAATAGCATAAATCATATTTTTTTCTTTTTGGAGGGGGAAAAAGATTACTCGAAAACATAGTTGCTAGATTAAAAAACTTAGAAAAGGATCTAAAAAAACATTCCCTACAATCTTCAATTTCCATTCTCCAATTGGGAAATTGCATCTGGGCTTGTTCACTTCATGTTGTCAATTAAAGGAACTAATAAATTGAATATGTGTATGAACATAGATGCTGAGAGTTGAATATGCGTATTCTAAGTTAAGTAAGCCTTATGTATGATCAAACCTCTTCAACCTTCAAAATTCGCAAATCACGGAGGGTTACCGTCTTGCCGATGCTACCACTGCAAGTCTCTGGTCTGAACGCTCTTTGCTGTCCTGCTGGTGCTGTCGCAGGTCTGGTGCAAATGCCCTGAAAGCTTTCAAGTTGGGGAGGAAAAAGCCTGGTGCGCGCGCTTTGAATGATTTTGATTTTGGGAGGAAGAAGCCTGGGGCGAGCGATCTGAACGGAAACGATTTGGGGAGGAAGAGGAATACGTGCGGTGCGAAATCTTGAGTCCGAAATGCAAATGATTTGGGGAGCAAGAGGAATAAAAAATTAAAAAGAATATTAAATATTAATTATAAAAGGACGGTTGAGATTATGTAAAAATCAGCGGCTTAAATCTTTCCACTTATTGAAACTCACCGTTTTGTCCGCTGAGCTCTTGGTGCTCATCACTCTGATGAGCACCGAATGAGAACGCTAAAAATACTTAGAAACAGGGGTAAAGCTACAAACCTTAGTAAACCATTTGTACAATGTAGCAACATTGTTGGTTAAGATTGCATTCAAAGTGCACTTGCAGGACACGAATGAGGGACGGACAACAAACTAGACTTGAGCAGCGGACAGAACTGGTAATACAAGCTAACGGCCATGGCTAGAATCAGACTAGAAATTATTAGCGGACAAATGGTGGCCTGGAACAGATCATCAGAGAACATTTCATTGTCCATTACGAGATGAAGAGCACATCAATAGAGGAGAGCCACATTGGGTATAGTGATTGAGATTAATCTCCTTCGTTGATCGATTATATAAACTTCTGAAAAAGAAACAAAGCAAAACCATTACCATTTTCCTTCAATATGCAGGAGTTCTTGGAGAAAGAATGAATGCAAGATTCCGATCAATCGAGAATATCTCTTTCAGGAAGAAAAACTGTTTAGTGAATTAGCATCAACGTAGAGTTGCAAATCACAAAGCTCGAGCATGGCTTGCTACTTGGGCATTGAAGGATTGAGAGAAGATGAGATGGTGTTGCCAGGGATAAATATTTGAGTAAATTTAAAATTTGAATTTTAAAAGGACTAAGAGAGTGGACAGGCAACTAGAAGACACGGACGATACTGATACGAGAGAGAGTAATCAATGAACCCTTAAAAAAAATTGAAAATTAACCAAGTGGCGATGGCCAACATAACAAAGGGATTAGCGAAAAAGCACAAACGAAGGTACAAAGCGTGAACACAATGCCTTCTTTAGGTGTGAATGCACAATGAGTTATGAGGCTTAAACAGATGGTAAAATGGATTTGTGACCACTCACATTTACCATAAAATTGAAGTCTACCAATGAGAAAAATAAAAATGATGGCCAATCAAACGCGTGCTACATTCTTGGAATAAAGAAGTTGATGGAAGAATTAGCTTGGAGAGCAAAAGTGTGTGGATTCACGAAGGAGAATGGAAGTAGGCAGAAGGAGCAGTGAATGTTTTCGACAAAAAGTATGATTGATTAAAAATCGAGGGTGGTAGCCGAGGAGTCAATAATTCATGCACCCGCTGCCGAATATAATTTGACCCACCAAGCAAACGAAATCTAATTGCCAGTGGCCACGTATTGATCACTAATTAGCAAACATTATCGCGAGGAAAGTAATTAGATTTAATAGATATATTTAACAGAGATAAAATTAAAAATTTATTAAATTTTTAAATAAAGTTAATGAGATTTAAGAATTTTCTTGGTTTCAGTAAAAATGTTGGAAGTGATTTATAAATAGGAAGAGAAGGAGTATAAATTATTGTCAACTTCGTAGCTCTTTAATTGTTAATAATTTTACTGTGCAATTATAGAAGTGCCCTTATTTTATTTTATTTTTAATAAGTTACTCCACCTCTTCCTTCATCCCTCTCGCGCTATGAATTTTCCATGAATGCTAACACACACAAGAAAAAGAAAAAAAAAAAAAGAACCCAAAAAAGTGGCTTCCGAGAATGAACAAAGGCGCGCGGAAGCCGAAATGCAAAGGCCAAAATCACATCTTCTGTTCCATTAATCCTTGCCTCATACTTCAAGTCCATATACTATCAATAAACATTTATTTCATATTTTTTTTATCATAGTTATTTGAAGGAACTTAGAATTTAATTCTTGAATGACTTGAATACATCTTACAAGATAACAGTAACAAATTTGGCAAAAATAATTAATCCAAATTTGAAAAGATAACAGTAATAAATTTAAATTAAATTATTCTAATTTCATATATTCCTTGATATGAAAAAAATTAATTATAATTATTTCATTAAAAAAAATTTTATCTTTCAAACATAAAACAGATGAATTAAAATTTTAATAATAGACAAAGATATATAAATAACTATAGAAAATCAATTACATATTACATTATAGGAATTGAATGAAAATTTTAATATAACTAAAAAAAAGGCTAGTCCAACCATATTTTGGGCTCAAAATAGAGGGAATTAATGTGATAGAATGTTTCACAATAAATGCGGGAAGACTTCCTATTTTGGATTCAATTAGGAATCAATTAATCATTAATTCTTTATTTTTGATCAACTCTCATTAAACAGAAATATATCAAATATCCAATCATTGCCAGATTTCCATGAATGGGTGAGTAATTTCTAACGGTCTCTTATTGTAAAATTGAGTGGCACTTGATTATGTATATATGGAATCACGTGAACGGGGACCTCCAACGCTTTGCCCAGGGAATTCGAAGACCAAAACCGTGTTGTTGGGTTCACGTGCAAAAGAGAAGGCCAGCTTCATCTAACACGTGTTACAGGCTCATTGAAAAGGTTGCATTATACCAATGAAATGTTATCTCTTTCTTGACTCATTTATAATTACTAGTTACTACTTCTTGCGTCTCAAAATATAAAACACTTTGATAAAATAAAAAAGTTTTATTAATGATACTTTTTTAATATTACATTTCTTATATATTCTCCCTTTTCAATATTCATTCATCAATGGAGTATTAAATGAATGACATTTTTAAAAATTTATATTTTTGTGTTGAAAAATAAGGTTGTAAAGTGTATTTAATAAACTTTATTGGTAGATAAAATTTTATTTAAAAGTGTTTTATAATTTAGGACGGAGGGAGTACTGTGAAAGTAAAGTCTTAGAAAGTAATGGCGGTAACAACATTAATTATTTTCAGGCAAAAAAATGTTATTTATTAATTAATGTAGAAGCTTTTTTTTTTTTGGTTGTCCAAGATATCCTTAAAGCCAGTAATTATGAGATTAATCTTTTAAGAAATTTAAGTATCATTTAAAGGATTGTTTTCTCTCAAGTAATACTTTTTTGTACACATTTTCAAGAATCAAACCCTTCAATAATGTTTAAGGGGTCCACCCACTTGGTAATATAGCAGATTTTTTAATCAGATATTTTTTCATAAAATGATTTCATAATCTAGTAAAATGATTGCTTACCTTATTATTTTTAGTCTTATATTAATTATTTAATATTTTATAGTTGGAAAAAATCATATGGTCTCTAAAATTTCACTCCAATTTTATTGTTTGTCAAAATAACTGTGATGAAATTGTGAATTAAGGAATAAACAATTGATACGGACATGAAATTAATAATGCAGTTAAACTGAAGTAGATGGTATATCTCAATTTTATTAATTGCTTTTTATTCAATATAAAAAAAAATACCATGATGACCTCAAAATCCAAATTAAGTTAATGAAGATACCAACAAAAATTTACGTTTTCATAGCGTCACTTCTCTAGTTCTCTATGGCATCAAGTGAGGTTTCATAACTATCAGGAGAATGGTCTTTGGCAAACGCATACATTGAACTTCATGAACACGAGTGTCACTGGAGGCATTTCAAAGCACTACGAATGAACAAAAAAAAAAAAAAAAGGGGTGCTACATGAACATGACTTTTTTGTTAGTGTCCCTTTCCATGTCTCAAGCATATGAAGCCTTTAATGTAGATGTTCTATTCTTTTTTATATTCATTATTCATTTTAATCATGAAAGCATTATACACAAAATTATCATTAAATTTGTGGTATGGATTTTTCTTAAAAAAAATTAGCATGGAGATGTAAATAAGTTGGAATTAGTTTCCTTTAATATCTCATGATTAGGCCCATTACAGCCAGAACTTTTAAACCCAAAACTCAATTACACTCCTTAAATCATCACCCTGGCCCTGTAGTAGAAGGTATTCATACTTGGATTGAAGAAATTGAATGTATTAGGCTGATTTGTTTGCAAGATTGATGTGGGTTTGGGTTTAAAAGGAGTTGAGTTGCTTTTTTTTTTTAATGTTTCTTTTGGGCTTGTGGCCCATCATCTTACCAAAAAGTAAAAGGAAATTGAGAACTATTCAAGCCCATTGGAAGTTCAAACTCAAAGACCCCTCTTTTTCATAAGCTTATTTGTTTGAAAAGGCAAAACACTTGAAAATGGTTTGGGTTACATTGGTTTAAGCAACATAATTGTAATCTTTGGATCAATAGGTTCATTTTTATAAGAATTATTAAAATTTTAACATCTCTATCTTTATGCAAATTATTTTATTGCATTATTAAAATAAAAAGTATTCACAAAACATACTATCAATTCTACAGTATCAGACTTCCACAACAAATCAATCTCTTGCCTTTTGATAAAATTTAATAATAAGCCATATTATTTATAAATTATAATTGAAAGTTCATTTTTTCAAGTGTGTGCCAATAAAAATTATAAATCATAAATCAACCTCAAGTCTAGTAATTAATGCACATAATATATAACAACAATTTGATTGCATGCATAGCTAACAAATGCTAGTTTGAAATTACATGCAATTCATGGAGAAGTGTGTAAAAACAACTATTCAATAACCAATTTATACCTAAATGGTAGTAGTGCCGTGTCAAGGGTTTTTGAGGCCCCAGGTGAAATGACTGAAGGGCCTAACATATAATAATGGGTTAAAGTATATTTTTACCTCTATATTCTTTTTTGAAGAGCAATGAACACCCTGTACTAATAAGTGAGAATTTTTCCCCTAAGTCATTTTTTAGAGAAGCAAAAATCCCCCATCATTAACAGATCACTAACAGAGGGGGATTTTTGCTTGTTTAAAAAATGATTTAGGGGGAAAATGCTTTACTTATTAGTACAAGATGTCCAGTACTCCTCGGATTAAAGTACATGGACAAAAATACACTTTAAAACCTATAATAATTTATTGATCCTTATATTACTTCCATAACTATTTGAGCTG